CTTAACGGCGCTACGTGAGGTTGGCTCAGTCTGTTCATCCTCTGCGGGCTACTTTTCTCCTGAAAAGCCCTGAATTTGTGGGGACCTGACTTTGCCGACATAGAAATACACCCTTTCCTTTTCACACTGCGGGATTGCTGTGCCTTTCTCCTGGCACCCAGGGACCTCCCTGAGCCTTTCCGTCTGTCCCAGGGCCTCCCAGGGCTGGCAGCAGGCAGCCAATGGCCTCTCCTTGGGCACTGTCACCCCTGAGGAGCAGCAGGGTCTCCCAATGGGCAGGGGAGGATCAGGCACATTTGGGCATGCTGATTCCTGCCTGGGGGGCTCCCAGCACCGACCTAGAAAGCATCTCTGCACCCACCTCTCCCATTGCCATGGTCAGAAAAGCTCTTTCCCCTGGTCCCCCCCCACTGATGTGCCAGCATGGCTGGGGAGAGGGTAGCTGGGCTGCAAGTAGAAAGAAAGGCTGGGTGAGAGGCCAAGCCCCTGCTGTGCCATGCCCCTCGCCACGTCCAATGCCCCAGTGCAGGGCTGAAGGCCTATACCGGCTGCACAGCCTTAGCACCGACCGTGGGTCTCCCCCAGATGAAGGAAGCTGCGGCACGGCCAGGAGCCAGCCCTCCGGTTCGCCAGGAGAGAGCCAAGAGCAGGAGACCAAGTGATGATCTCTGGTGGGCTGAGGTGAGCCTCAGGGCACAGCCCCACTGGTTAGGCCCAGCAGCACCAGGTCAGGGCCTTTGTGTGTGGGTGACACTGGCGAGGTGTCACCCCACAGGCCCAGGGGCCTTGCCACCCGCTCCCACCACCCACAGGGTTCTGTGGCAAGTAAATTAAAGGCATTACTTTAAAAAAGCAAAGTTGAGCAACTCGGCCTGCACTGCCTAGGAGCTGCCCCCAGCAGTGCATGTACCTCTCCACCAGCTATGGAGCTGCCTTTCATCTGCATCTGGAGCATCCCACCACCTGCCACATTGAAACCACAGGTTCACTCCTATGGCATGGCTTGAGGACAGTGCCCAGCCAGAGCTCCGGCGCCTTCTGCAAACTGCAGAGAAACAGCATCACACCGCTGCTACAAGCCCTTGGGACAGGCAGGGCTGACTAAATACTTCTGCTCCGGGCGGGGAGTCACAGAGACAGGACAAAGCTTCATGGGGCAGGATTGCGACTGCAGAAGTTACAGCTTCCTCTCTCCTGTGAGAGGGGTGGCTTCTTTCCCTTTTCTTTCTTTTTTTCCTCTCTTAAGGGACACAAAAGTCCTTCCAGTTGCTATGTGTGGAAAAGGGGCATCTGCCCAGCAGCAGTCCTGTGTTGCACCACCCTCACGAAGCAGGCTGTGTGTGTGTAGGTGGGGCTGCAGCAATGTTCACAAGGGGAAACCCTGCTCAAACCGCTCCTCCTATTTCTCCCGAAGAGACCAGCTCCCTCTTTACCAGCCAGGTACACTTGGAAATGTTAGAGCCTTTGCCATGCTCTGCACCCAGTTGGGCACAGGCCTAGCCCACAGTACACATGCACCCTCTCTTCGTTGTACTGCAGCAGCTGCCCCAGATGTAGCAGTCACAAGGAGATGAAGTCGGCAGAAAGCTTGCGCAGCCCTGGAGCTATCTTTTGGTGACATTTTCTTCCCAATGGCTCGGGACTTAGTGAATGTGCTCTCCCTCAGAGATGGGTCATGTTAACGCCAAGCTGAGGGCACAGGAGGTGGGCGCAAGAGTTACACGGGAAGTGCCAGTGAGGGTAAGTCAGGCTGTAGCCCTCATTCCTGCTGACGGTACACTGCTCTGCCGGCAGGGCCCACGCTCCTGCTGGACAGCTGACCTCAGGAAAGCCCAAACCTCTGGGATTATGTTTGTCTCTCAAGATGCAAAGCATCTTCCTTGCAGAAGCAGAAGACATCAGGCTGATGCTTCTGCTCCCCACCACTCCCAGAGTGCCCCTTTCCCCTGCTGGTGCCTGCCTGCTGCTGTGCTGATGCACCCAGCAACACCTGCAGCAGCTAGAGGCAATGGTCACCGTCTTGCTTTTGTTGAAGCTTGGCTTTCTGGTGACCAGTGTTTCTGTCTAACAGCTTAGGGTTTAGTTGGCTCCGTGCCCCCAGCAAATAAGAACAAACCACCCAGAGAAGTCAGGAGTTTGGGCCTGCCCCTTGAACTAGACTGCCCTGGACATGACCAGGAGCTGCGCCGAGTTCCAGGAAAGCGGGAAGACCCAGGAAGGCCATGGCCAAAGAGGTTCGAGCCCTGGCAGGACGTCCATTGTGAAGGGAACACTGGTCGCGCGGTCGGGATGGTCTCTGTGCAGCCCAGGGTACTTTTGGGACGTCACCTCTGAGCTACTGTGGCTGCCCTGTCCTCCCTGCAGCTCCCCTCAGCAGAGCCCAGCTCCCCTAGGCTGCTGCTCAGCAGGCGCGTAAGGCACAGAGGCTTGGCTGTGCCGTTGGCCTCTTTTGGGATCTTTCTTTTGGGGCTGGCAGCAACTTCGCCTGCTGAATCCCAAAGGTGCTTTATCTGTCCCGTCCTCCTGCCGGGCTCACTTGGCTGATGGGGATGCCATGGGTCTGTGGCCAGTGGGCTGGGTACCCCATGGGGGTGCAGGGGTCTTTGGGAGTGCCAAGACACCTCAGTGCCTCTTCCTCCGTGTCCCCCTGCAGCCGACGTGAGCCGTGCTTCAAAATGCCCTGCAGGCTGGGACCGTGCAAGGGAGCAGTGGTGGGGTTGGTGGGGTTTTGCAAACAGTCACGTCCCAAGCAGAAGAGGCGTGCGTTGAAAGTGGGTACGGGGAAAGGCCCCTGAAAAGCTGAGGCTGGGTGACCAAGAATGGTAAGGATGCCATTTTCCCCAGGGGAGCGTATCAGCTCCCGAGGTTTTCGGCAGGTCCCAGTTCATAAGGGAAGAGTTTCTCTGGGACTCAACCGAGTGCATGCTGCCCAGATGCCTGCGTGCAGCTGATGAGGCAGGGGTGGTACAAAGGAGGACCTCTCCCTCTGCAAAAGGAAGCCATTTATTACAGAAAAGCAGAAAGCTGATACAATTGTACAAGAGTCACAGTGAAATATCTTCTTTTTTTTTTTCTTTTTCTGGGGAAATAGGACGTTATCATGTCACTATTTCTTCAGCTCTTTGAAAGCTAGTATTAGAGTAAGCAGTAATAGGAACTACGTTACTAGACAAACATTGGCAAAGCTCTGGCAACAGTTGGCATCTGCGACAGAAAGAAAAGATGTAATTATGTGGTAGATTCTCAACAGGTTTTTGCACAATCAGAGTCTGAAGAACCATACTGCTTATGTCAAATTTGACATGACAGCAAGAATCGGGCTGTCAACATGCACACTATATTGCAGCAGCTTGTTGGCTTCAGTACTTCAATAGTCCCAGTTAGAAGGAGGAAGTCTTGGTGACCCACTGCAGTTTCTAAACAGCTTGAGTGGTTACAAATGTGAGCAGCTACCAAAAGAGAGGAGCGCAAGGGAGAAGCCTCAAGTGAGGGACCTCAATAGGCCGGAGAAATGGGCCGCCAGGAACATGATGAAGTTCAACAAGGAAAATTGCAAAGTCCTGCCCCTGGGGAGGAACAACCCCAGGCACCAGTAGATGCTGGGGGCTGACCAACTGGGAAGAAGCTCTGCAGAGAAGGCTGCTGAGGATGCTGGTGGACACCAAGTTGAACTTGAGCTAGCAATGTGCCCTTGCCGCAAAAAGGACTACTGATGTCCTGGGCCGCATTAGGAGGAGTGTCGGCAGCGGGTTGAGGGAGGTGATCCTTCCCCTCTGCTCAGTATTGGTGAGGCCACACCTGGAGCACTGTGCCTAGTTCTGGGCTCCCCAGCACAAGAGAGACATGGACATACTGGAGAGAGTACAACAGACAGCCATGAAGATGATTAAGGGACTGGAGCATCTCTCCCATGAGGAAAGGCTGAGAGAGCTGGGACTGCTCAGCCTGGAGAAGGGGAGGATCAAGCGGGACCTCATCAATGTGTATCAATACCCAAAGGGAGGGTGCAAAGAGGATGGAGACAGGCTCTTTCCAGTGGTTCCCAGTGCAGGACCAGAGGCAATGGGCACAATCTGAAACACGGTAGGTTCCCTCAGAGCATCAGAAAGCAGTTTTTTACTGTGAAGGTGACAGAGTGCTGGCAGAGGCTGCCCAGGGAGGTTGTGGAGTCTCCATCCATGGAGATATTCAAAAGCCATCTGGACATGGTCCTGGGCAGCCTAGGTGTCCCTGCTCGAGCAGGGGGTTGGATGACATGACCTCCAGAGGTCACTTCCAACCTCAAGCTTACTGTGATCCTGCGCTGCCTCCTTCTTCAGGAAGCACATTCTTGCTACCCCTCATGCCAGCACTCGCACTTTGGCAGCTGCATGACAAGGTGGAGCTTAAGCTAAAGACTAATTTGCCAAAAAGAACCCAAGTTTCCAACTCACTACACTGTTGCACACCTGAGCTTGCTTAGGAGATGTTTTGGACTGTACTCCTGGGGACAGAACTGCCTCCATGGGCAGAAACCTGCATTTAAGATGATTCAATGTGTCCACAAAACCATAGCCCCATTTGCAGCAGAGGTAAAGACAGTCACCACCACTCCCAAAATCAAGCTGTGGCTCTACCTTTTTGGATGAGAAAAGAGACAATTTGGCTGAAAATTCACAAAAATCTCCCCACCATTGAAAAAAAGCAGTGTTTTGACCATTTGCACCAGCACCAGCAGGGATGTAAACAAGAATGGCCCCTGTTGTGTTTCCAACCAGTGGTTCCACTCTGGTAGTGCTGAAACAACTCAGAATATGCCATCAGCTTAAAGAGCAGAGGAATTGAAAGTACAAGTGTCCAAACTGTTCTATGATTTATCCAAGTAGTTTGTAATTGTTGACTTCCTTCTGCAATTGCCATTTTCAGCAATTTGTTCTCTCCAGGTGGTGATGTCCTTTAATTAAAATCAATTTTATGACATCCTTCAGGTGTACACATGATGAAATATATATATATGAAACTGCCTAATTTTTTTTTTTTTGGCATAGACTACAGAAAGGGCATTAAAAAAAATCTTAAGGCTGCCCTATAATATCACTGAACAAGAAATGAGCAAAGCATTCTAGTGTCCACAGGCCCAGGTAAGAGTAAACCGTCATCTAAAGATGTCTCTCTTAAGAAGGTCTTTTCTCTGTGATACAGCAAATGGAGTTTGGTGCGGGTTCTGGATGCCACACAGAGCAAAAGATTGAGAGATATTCCTTTTGTGCAGGGACAGGGTGGATGCCAAACACAATTCTCCTTTCTAGGCCTGAGAAGTGTCGGATGCTGTCAAGAACAATGACATCTTCTAAAACATTCTCCGCTAGCCCCAAGACCAACCTCACCCTGCATTTCCTTATTTGTCTTTTTAGCTCAGGTTCCAGTATCTGACTGAACACCCAGGCTCCATGCTGTGTACTGCACAGGATTGCGGTATCTTTGATGGGATAGCCTTGCTGGGTGTAGCTGTTGCACTGCCTGGTCACGTACTCTGCCATTTCAAATGTTCCCATATTTTTTTTTATTATGTAGTCACCTGACAAAGAATGGGCACATTCAGCCTGTTTAAACAACTCTTCCAGCACCTCATAGGGCATATCTGTGTTATGTTCTTGGAGGATTTCCTCCATGAGATTAAACATGACATTGTATATTTGCTTGGCATTACAGACCACTTTGGTCAACCATTCCTGAGGATATAGTTCTGAAAACTTAAGACCACAACCGTATGGGTGAGTAGACTGGAAGAAATCCAGGAAGACCCAGAAAATGCCACTTTTTTTCTTGACTAGCTCCTGGGCACATTGGTGCCAGTTTTCTTCAGGACGAAAATTCTGAGCTTCATCAACTACAATGTGTTTCACTTCTGGGAAGTCCCCATTTAAGAAGGCAACATGTGTCACAGACCAGCAGATGTCATTTCTAAAAAAAAAAAGAAACCAAAACCCCCCAAAACCATATGGTAAATAAAAAGAAGATGCAAGCAGACAAATCCATATTGACTGCCTCCATTTCTCAGTGAGCTCTTGCTTGGAGGGCTATTGCTGCTTGCTGTCTAAAAATGCAAAGCTTCCTATCTCAGCTGCAGCATGCTCTACCATTTTTCTGGTGGAAACATTTATTCCAGTGGATTGGCTGTGTGCTGGCCTTGGCTCTACCCTAGGAGGAGGCTCAGGCCCACCCTTCCTCCATGGGGACCCCGTGGCAAGGCTCCCCAGGGGCGTCTCTCTGCCTTGCTCTCCCCAGCCCAGGGAAGGCAGCATGGTGCCCGAGCTCCCGTGGGAAGGACGGGTACCCTTTTCTCCCCAGGATGAGCAGGGACTGGCAGCACTTCTGCCTGCCAAGGCCAGGACCTGCTGTTTGGGCACTGCTGGGCCTGAGCTGGGCCTCGACTCCCTGATGCAAGGTGCCTTGTCCAGCGCGGTGGCCTTGGTGACCTCTCCATGCTGACACAAGTGGAAACACAGTGAGAACAGGACTGGGGAACTGCTCTGCCTGAAATCCTCTACCAAAAGGGGAGCAGTTTCTGTTCTCCTTGCCTAGATGGCCCAGGTCCAAGAGCCAGCTCCTAACACAGCTGCACAAGAGCTTGCATCAGACCCAGCACAGGCAGTGTGGAGACAGAGAAAGGCAGGTGGGTAGTTTTGGTGTCAGCATCAGCTGTGATAGCCTGTGAAACTAAGGCCATCGTCTTTTGAAGGTCTAACACCATCCAGCAATCACTGAACATGGGATTCTCCCTGCAGTCAGTGAACGCTGGATCTGGGCCAGAGCTCAGCTCAATAATACTTTCAATATTAACACCTTTATTGGGATGATTATTGTATGTTTGTGTCAGCCAAAGTTATATATTTGGCAAACAGATATAAAATCAGCAGGGCTTGTGCTGTATGTACAGAAGATGGAATGAAAGAAAGAAAAAAGAGGAAATACACATTACTGCTTACCCCACAAACTTCTTCACAAATGTAGAGTATCTCTTTTGTGGAACAGTGAAAAATGTTTCTTATTCTCTCAATGATCTTCAAAGCCATGATTGTTTTCCCTGTTCCAGGAACACCAAGGACACACTGCTCCTTGGCTTTGTGCAGGTTCTTGGAGAGCTGCTCATACTGTTTGAGAGTGAGAAGGTTGAAAATCTCATAGCCAAGATGGTCACTTAAGTAGGACTTAAAGCACAGCACAACAATCACAAGTGCATGCAGGAATGCGGGGATGTCCCTGGAGGTGAGGATGTAATTCTCTGGGTACAAGCTGCCATAACCACATGGGTTTTTTTGGTTCTCTTGCTGGAAAATGTCATCCTCTGCAACTTCCATCTGCTTCTCTGTGCCATTCAGGTGCAGTATTTGGGGAATCACACACACTTTTGAAGCATATCCCCCATCATTGACTAGTTTCTGCTTTAATGCATAAGCAGTTTCTCTTGAGTTTTCAGACTCAGCAGAAGGGGCATCCTTGACTACGGTATACAATACTGGCTACACATTTTCAGCTACTAAGAGAGCATCACACACAACATCCTGTTTTCTCCGCAATCCAATGTCAACAGCCCAACTCCTTGAAAATATCAGTACCCCCTTGTTAAGTGGATGGATTTGTTTTTTCATTAAATCCTCTAATCCAGGATACTCTGAGAATAGGTTGGTGCAGATGGTTTCTGGCTTCCATTTGATTTCACTAGAACCCACTAGAAAAAAGAAAAAATGAGGAAAACAAAATACAGCAAATAATTTACTCAACACTCCAGTTACTGGAGGAATATATTATACCATGAGGTCATCAAAGTAAATGATTTAGTGTGAGTAAAAACTTCAGCATTCCCATGATACCTGGTGGTAAATCTGTAAGGATTTTTTAATTAATAAAAGAGATATAAACTCCATGCTTCAGGCATGCCTGACTTCTAAATGGAATAAGAAAAAGTCTCTTTGGAGGGATCTGCCTCCTTTCTATCTCCCTTCTCATTATTTAGGTAGGTATTCCTCTGACCTCTGATATTGCTGCCACAGTGAGAGACTGGTGCTGGAACCAGATGGAGCAGCCCACTTGCAGCATCTCCTACACTCCTGACTGGTTAAACACAATGCATATAACAAGGAAAAAGGCACCCAGGAGCATCATCAGTCTCCTGATGTATAGATACACATTCCTATTAAACAGAGGGGAATACATGAAGATACTTCTCATCCCAACGCTAAACCTGGTGCTCCTCCAAAATAACAAGTAACAGTGATTTTAAAAAATACTAACACAAATCATCTCTTAACTTTACAGGTTAAAATTACAGCTATGCACATTGATAACACACAGACAAACCTCAAGGGCAAGCATACATTTACACTGACTGTGTCACAGCCTTCCATTTAAAAAACACATTCTCATCAAGAAACAAATTAATATCCTTGTACCAAAACACTATTAACCAGTCAGGAAATCAATCATCTGAGACTAATCCTGAAAACAGATGTGAAAAGATAGCAAAATTACAAAAATTAATTAGAAAAAATAGCAATTAATACATACATCCATAGGTCAGAATTTGGGAAAAAAAATAACCCACGGACTATGTTTAATGAGAAAGTATCTGTTTGCTACTGATTGGAGTGGTTCTGATACTCCACAAGAACCTGGAATGCCACATCTCTCCCATGTGTCTCAGAGCTTGACCTAAAGCCACAACCCTGCTCTGCAGGAAGATAGGATTTACATTGCCCTTGGCTACTTCTGTTCCCTTGTCTTTCAGGGCTTGGTATGTGGGAGTATCTGTTGCTCAGCAACCACCGCTGCTTTTATAGCTGAAGTGTTTCTGAAATAATCAGTCTTCATCTAAAAAATAAAAGCACAACGAGGTTCTCCACCCCTGCATGGTAAGGACTAAGCTTTACTTTCCCCTGTGTGTCCAGCCTGAAGTTCCCCTGTGGCACTGAGTAGGGCAGCAGAATTAACTTATTGGGTGAGATAAATGTCTAAGCCGATCAGACACCTGACACCCAAATACTTGGTGCTTAGCCCTGCAGACCAGCAATACAGCACTGCTAGTACCAAGCCATAGGGAGTGTACTGAGTTTGCAAGGCCTCAGGTCTGGGGCTTGTCTGGTTGCTTTGTCTGAATTTTTGTTGACCTGTTTGGAGCTTTGTTTTTACTTGTTTGCCTGTAAAAGCATTTTTTCTGATAACCAGGTGGCTGTGGATAACAACCATCAATTTATACAGGTCTTCTGCACAGGATAAAATCCTTCTGCCTATAACATGATGATGCAGAGTGCAGAAATACAGGTCTGGTAGGACAGCAGAGGTCTTGAGATGTGGGATACAGGATGCAGGGCTGAATTCAAGTGTGGGGCAGTGAGAGACAGAGCACAGGAGATCCCAAGGCCAGAAACAGCTCTCAGATGGTCAGATAAAGAAATGCAGCTCCAGAGCTGAGCAAAACTGATTTTAAGGGTAACAGAGAACAAGCATCTAACTTCTGTGAAACACGCCATGTTTACTGAACTCCAATAAAGCAGTGAACTTGCAGACCAGTGAAGAAAGAACAAGGTGTAAAACTGCATTAGCAAACCTACAGCATGTGACCCCAAGTGGATCCAGAAGCAGGAGACAGAAACCATCAGCATCAACTATGTACTCCTGATGAAAGCACCGGGGATGCTGACAACTCACCCTAACAACTCCTAGCAGACTGGAGCCATCAACAGCAGGATCCTGAGTGCCAGTGGAAGGCTGAGTGTAACGCCAGGAACAGTGATGGATACTAGGAAATGTGCAGGTAACTATTATTATTATTACTTTTTTCAGAGTGGTATTCATTTATTGTCCTTTTCTTTCTTTATCTGTAATAACTAGACCTTGACTAATGATAATTCTTTGATTAGACTACTTAGATTTCAGTTATGCTAGAAATAAATTATTCTCTCTCTTTTTTGTCCATAACAAGACTTTTGAGCATAACAGAGGGAAGACAGTGCTCAAACCCCTGGGACACTAGGTATATTCTCAGCAGTTGTGTGCATTAGGGATTATACTTGGTGACAAAAATGGGAGAAGAGATCAAAACACCTGAAAAATCAGAGAAATCAACATTCTTGGAGCAACTGCATCTTTTAAATATCCTAACAGTTGTTTGCCTAAAATCTTGTATTTATATCACGTTACCTTCCTAGAAGTTCTGTCAAATACAATCTTAAATTCAAAAAAATATCCAGAAAAAATGGCTTACCTGGGTAGAGGCATTCTTGGAGTTCAGATGCACACTGGAGACCAGCTTTTGAATAAACTGGCTTGATAAGAGGAGGACCATTTGCCAAGCTGAGCTCATTCTCAAATTTATCAGCCAGATCTGAAAGATCCTGGGGGAAGAAAGAAATATGTTATACCCATCAAAATCCTTCCATATGAACTTTTAAAACCCAGCACTAAAAAGTAAGTAGAATGATCAATTTAAAACCTCCCCTCTCAATCCTACTCAAGAAAATGCTGCCTACGTAGCTATGAATGGCAGTATTCTGTCAAACCAACAGGATCTTGATTTGCTATAGAAGAGGGAGGGCTCACAGCATAGATGGCGTTACAGTTCAAAGGCTAGATCTAGACCCCATGTGGGATGAGTTTGTTGGGACCCCGGTGCACAGGTGAAAGACACCTGACATGCCAGTTCAGCACACCAGCATGCTACAGGAACCACCTACGTGTACCACAAGTCACTTCAGTAGATACACATCTCCAAAAGCCCTTGCTGTTGTTCCCCTCCTATCAACATCAAAATAAAGTTCCCCTCCTATCAACATCAGCCTCTCTGTCTTTTGTGTGACTGTGTCCTTTGAAGAGACCAGACATTCCAGCTCTAAGTGCAGACCAGGGCCACAGGAGAGGTTTCACACAAGGCCAGAGCCACCTGGCATGCTGGGGTTCCGCTGGTCCAGGAGGTCCCCTTCGACTAGTATATGCCTTGCTCATGCGGTCACTGCCATGGATACACACTCAAGGGAAATCTGTGTTACAGGGAACCTGTAGGAAAGGAGGGTTAGTTTCACCTTAAGAGTGAAAAACTCTTATTCAAATCTGTGGTGAGAATAAACTCTCTAGGACTCTCTCTGACATGTCTTGTGGGGTGATGGAACAAAATGCAGGACATAGCTTTTTCAGGGGAAGGATTTCACAATGAAGCGGGACAACATGCCTTAAAACAAGCAAAGCCTTGCACCCCTGCTCCTTTAAAACAGCCTTTAACAACAACAAAGCCACACCAGGTGTGCAGAGTGACGTTTCAGTAGGTATCCGAAGTGTGTGTGAGCCTCGGAAAGGGGAAGTGGTTAGCAGCCTGATGAATACCGAGCATTGCTTGCTGAGCTGCAGATTTGAAAGGATTTTCCTCAACCTCAGGCTGATCTCTGAAGAGACGACTGGCCAGGTTTTAGTAGCTACCCTAGCATGGCCAACTTCATTACAGATGTTATTAGTACTTGATAAGGGGAAGGAGAGGAAAAGTTGCAGGTCAGTTTGACACCACCATTACAGCTAAAATGATTATTTTACTTTAGTGCTGGCATGCAACTTGTGCCAGGATGCTGGATCTACGCAGATGAAACCAGGGCATGGAGGTTAAACGTTGCTAGTGCATCAAACGCTGCAGATTTCACTCCATGGGGATCAGTACCAGTAAGGACTTTTTTATTTTTCAAAATAAACCCCTTTTAGGCACCTAAAGGGGCCGGATTTCCACCAGGCCACCACTCCCTCCTAAGCATCTTAACAGACAAAGCCAGCTTCAAAAGTTTTCTGCAATTCTCATTAAGAGTAATAGAAGCTCCTGGGCGATTTTGAATGTTTCCACTTCATTTAGGGGCATATGGGATCCCTCAGAAGGCTTATTCTAGTTGGGAGTGCTTCAAAAAGTCCTCCTGAACCAGTTCAGAGAGTAATGATTCACAGAACGGTTTGCCGTTGGAGGCCAGTTACCATACTGTCACCCCCAGTGCCTGTGACTGTGCCATGAGCCAAAGGCCCTTTTCTAGGTTTGGTGAGAACACAGGGCAAAAGAAGTTGGTGTTTCCTCCTGAAAGCTTACAAACCAAGGCAGAAATTAAGTTGGCGCTAAGGTAAATGCAGACATTTACCTGGGTCTGCAGCTGTCATGAGCTCCGTCCATTTCCTGACGCTCAGTCTTTTGATCATGTCACCTGTCACTATCCAGGATTCAGGGTTATCATAGAAAACAGTGCAGCAAAACGGTTCGACTCGCACAGCACATATATAGCCCTGCAAGCCTTCTGCTTCGTCATAAACGCCAGGACGTAAGTCTTAAAATGCACGCCAGCCTGAGAGCCGCAGAAGTGATGGATGGGCATTGAGCCCATGGTATCAGTACTGTTTTTTCTAAAGCTTCTTTCCCCACTTTACCATGGCTTCCAATGACTTTACTGCTGTCATCCACTCCAAAAAATAAATAACCACCCTGAGTGTTTGCAAAGGCAGAAACATAATTTGGAAGGGTTTTTCTGATGTATTCCAAGACATTCTCTGTAGAGAAGTTCTTAAATTCAATATGTGTTGCCTCTGTGAAATCCAGGACCTCCCCAACAATCAGTTTCTCTCTCTTTAAAAATCTGGCAGTGGCATCTTGGATGTTGCACTCCTTGGTGTTCAGAGGGGTCTCCTTTGCTCCCCCATCAAAATTCAGCAGAGCTTTCTCAGCGCTTGGCCCATTCTCATCATGGCACTTGGCACAGCTTTCTTTCCTCCTCAGAAATCCAGCCACGTCGCTTAAAGTCATAGGGACAACCAAAGTGAAAGACCTACGGGACAAAACAGTGCTCAGGCTACAGATACGCAGCTTTGTGGCTGCACTTCTCTGCTCTGGACCTCCACAGTTCCATGTTTTAACAAAAAGCAGCAAGTGACTCTGCTGCTGCATCCACGTGAAGTATTCGCTGGTCTCGGTGCTGTCCATGCACCCCCCGAGGCTCTGCTCAATGTCCAGACCAATGCCGTGCTCCCAAAAGCAGTAGTTCTTGTCTTTGCTCTCCATCCTCGCTACTCCTCCTCCTGAATTCAGCAATGCGCACACAGCTATAGAAAGCTCCTTTTGTTGCCTTTTCTGATTGTGAGAGGTCTTCTTTCTGGATCTCTCTCCTAAAACTATTTTCCCAATATCTACCACCACATCAGGATAGTTTGTTTTCAAATTAATCAGCAGCTGCCCTTCTTGTCTGGCCATCCTGCTCCTGAAATGATAAATTATTAAAAACACCTCACGATTGATTATACACCGCAGTGTGACAAAGGAAACCATACGCCTTTGGCTTAGGCTTACACGCTAGATTTAATAAACTGGAAAATAAAAATCATTACTTGCAACACACAAGCAAATCAAAGACAGGCTATTGCAGAGACACCCAGAGACGTCATGTTAAGTAAGCTAATTTATTGGGCTCTTTTGCATATCGGGCTCTAAGTTACCCTGAAGCTACGTACAAGCCATACCCCAGATATCTCGGGCAGGCAGCCGCGGGCCGTTTACGGGAGCAGTTCCGACCGACTCCCCATCGCGGGGAGGCCTGGGTCCCCCCCGCCCGCGGCCGGCAGAGCCGAGGAGCCCGGCGAGACCCCGCGCCGCAGGCAGAGCCCTCCGGGGCGGGCGGGGACCGGCTGCCCGCCCCCCCCCTCCCACCCCCGCAGGGCTGCAGAGCGGAGCCGGGCGCCCGCCCGGGAACTGCGCGGCCGGGCCGGGGGGTGCCCCGCTCGACGGGGCCGTCGCAAATGGCGGCGGGGCTGTCCCCGGCTCCTCTGCCCGCGCCGGGCTGGTCCCGCCGCCGGCAACCGGCCCCGGC